CACACGCACACACACACACACGCGCACACACACACACACACACACACAGTGTGAATATGAATGCTGCCTCACTCTGTATGCATCCATCTCACAGCACATATACACCTTTCCTTAACAAGCTGCATAACTTAAAGCATCGTTCATTCGTTCAAATCACTAACCCTATTATGAGCAATAGTAACAGTGGAGATTGCAATATTGTATTCATTAGTACAGCATTGGCAGTGTTATTGTGCATAACTGCTGCATTTATTAAATGCAACATCTGTGACGTTAGATTTTATTTGAGGTTTTTTAGCGAGGCCAGACCTCATATAGAAACACTGACGTTAATAGTTAATAAAAGCACTGGACTAATGTGCTCAGGAATGTGGAGTGGCTGATGTAAAGTGTGTTGTTGATATGGGAATAGTCCGGCTGTGCGTTTCATACTCCAGCAGTGCTATTAAATGATCCACACTGCCCCCTGCTGGCCGCCTGATCTCAATGCAGTCGGCTGAAATCACAGGATACTTTAAACACGACCGAATCTCAGCTCTGTGCAATGCAGAACGAGAAGATGGAGCATTTACCTTGGAGAAGGTGTTCATCTGCGCTTTATTCCAGAGGATCTGCAGCAGACCTGCACACACCGGACAGCAGGCACCTGCACTCATTCACAGCAGATTTCTCAGTTAGTTTTACACAAATGCCCTCACAAAGGTACAGATGTCCCTGAAAATCACTTCAGTTCTCTTAATGGTTCATTCTGAGACTGTTCAAGCCAGTGCTCCTCCACCAGCGGGCCGCAGGGTGACTTAAAGTATTTCAGTTATTAATATTTTTAAATGTCTGTTCTCTCACCGGGCGGCGTGACGGGGTTGCAGGCACGGCTGGAGAGCAGAGGGCAGGGAACAGCATTACAGCCCGAGTCTGGCGTGAACTCTGACACGACGCCGACCGCATGACAGCGACCCTGATAGTCCACAGCCACGCGGTCCGAGAACGCTTCACACACCGTACTGTAGGTCTCCCCGTTATGACCACACACCTCTCTGGGCTTCCTGCAGGCGTCCTGAACACACACACACACACACACACACACACACGTCAGAAATCAGACTCATACACACATCATACCAAAAACCTCTGCAATTACAATCGTCACATGTCAAGTCAGTGTTGTGTGTGTTGTTGTACCTGACAGTGTCCCATGTAGGCCAGGCTCTTGCTCCGCTGGAACAGCAGACACAGGTTGGCGTGTTCCATGTTGTCTGTGTCACAGACCGGATCCAGCTGGTTCTGGTCACAGCCGGCCGGACGGGAAACACACTCGTACTGAGGACAGGGATATTCTGACAGCTCCATCACACACACACACACACTCACAATTAGTTAATAAGGTAAATTAGGCTGAAATGACAATTAGGACCAATTGATCCCAGGGAAGTTTCTTCAGGGTTCCCAATCTATCTCAGTGCAATGTTCCAGGACTTCCAGCACTTTTCCAGAAAAGGTTCCATTTAATTAAATGAAAAAGATCACTCCCTAAAGAAATATATTCCTCTTTATAAGACATATGGCCATGAATTAGCTATAAAATCAGCTCTTTAACATGAGCTTTAATTATACATTTTCAGAACCAATTTCAATACCACAGCAAAAACTATTGAAACTATCTCTTTTTTATTTAACTAAAAGAAAATGCAATTACATCTTAAAAATAATTTTCCAGCACATTTGACATTTCTGTCGTTTTCCATGTGTTAAATTAGTGCAGGAACAGCGCTCTTGAATCCAGCCTGCAGAAGTCAAGGGTTTACTGCAGTAAGACGAGCCGTATTTCCCAGAAATCTCTGCTCTGCTTCAGCGCACCTCAGACAGATGTTTAACATCAAGGCTTCGCCATTTTATCATCTTGTTTACAAAGGAACAAACATTTCCTTTGAAACGCGGGCCAAGGAGATGTTACGCAACACTGCTGTGCCTTCCATAAGACCGATGCTGACGGGACGCTGATGTCTGCAGCTCTCATCATTGTGCTTCTAATTCAATGCTATCCTGAATGTGAATTCAAAAGTGCTGCTTCACTGCCATCTGAGCAAACAAACCTTCACAAACACACACACTGAGGACACAGAACAGATCGTTCACACTCTGGATTCTGACTGTATGAGTGATAGAAGCTGTAAAAGGTGAATAAACGCACAGCAGTGTCTCCATAATCCAACACTGATTACTACAGACTCCAAGACCTCAAATGTGTTTGAGAGAAAGAAGACGTTCATCATGTGCAGTGCTGGAGACTCCAGGAACAGAGTCAAGAACCACCGACCGACAGATGAATATCTTATTCTAAATATTACTATTATTCATTATTAATAATTAATACCATTTTATTTTCAACTGCAGTAATTAAAAAAAAAAAATTTTTGTTGTTTTTTTGTGTCATTTAATAATATCTTATTACTAAATTTTACAAATATTCATTATGATTTATTAAATACTTGAGACTTTTATTATATTGCTTATATATATATATATATATATATACACACATACATTTATATCACTGCTGCAATTTATGAATATCAAATATTATTATTAGTTATTAATGATTGATATGGTTTTAATATTATTATTAATGATTAATATATTAATAAATGCTTTTTATTTTTATGACTTTAGATCATTATATATTATATATAATTCTCATTAAATTATACTATTATTAATTATTTATTAAACATTGGTGTATTTTATCTTATTGCTTATATTAATTTATATCAATGCAGCATGTTGGAGGAACATTTTATTTAAAAAATTATTCATGCAGTTATTAATAACTGATATTTTATTTTTATTAAAAATTTGTTAATAAATTATCCTTTTTTTTTTTTAGAATTGCTCACATATCTATTATTATTATTATTATTTATTACAAATTTGTGTATTTTACCATATTACTATATTAATTCATTTATATTTATGTGGCCAGTTTGAAAAATAGTTTATTTCAACAATTATAATTACAGTTATTAATAATTGATAACATTTTCATTTTAATACAAATAATCAGCTGATTTTTTTATTTGTTTTAATTCCTACTTATTAAATTCAGTTATTATCAATTATTATTATTGATCAAACATTAGTGTCTTCTGTAACATCAGCTCTTTCTCTTGTTATAGCCTCTTGTTGCTGTAATAATTGCATATTGGTTTGATGAAACACTAATCAATAGTAAACTCAAACTGTGTGCATGTTGCCCAGCTTCACACATAAATCTGGAGTTTCCTTCATCAGCGTTCACACGTGCTGAATGGCTGGCATTAGACTGGATCTGTGCTGTAAGATCCCGATCCCTTCAGAACACGAGCGCTCATCAGACGGCAGAAGAGTCACATGAACACCGAGTGACACCTGAGCAAACAATCTGAGCCGAGAGGAAACGCAGAGATAAAGCAGCGTGTGTGTGTGTGTGTGTGTGTGTGTGTGAGTGTGTGTGTGT